TGGATGTCCAGGCATGGAGATGACAGAAGGAGCTCTTCTTCCTCCCCATGTTTTGGCTTGAAAAGGCTGCTTCCAAGGCCAGCTTGCCTTGGAAAGGGGTGATATATAGGAGGAGGAGGAAGAAAGAGGCTCTGGGGCTCACACTCTCCTCAATCCCTATCTACTGCTGACTGGCAGGAAGCAGTTTGTTATGTAGATGTATAGACTGCCCCCATTCCCATTTTTTCTCTTTAATTATCTTTAAAATACAATTCTAGCAAAAAGGTTCATTCCATTCCATTCAAACAACAGTAAAAATTGGCCCTGGCCCCACCATGAAACCTATGGAGAACCAGGGGTTCCAACCTCTTGTTGGGGGTCCAGGGGCTGCTCTCGTACATCATCTTTTAAATCTGGCACAATTTTTTGAGTTGGCTCTCCTGCCACTCACACTCCTTCTCCAGGTAGTGGAGGCACCACTGCTGGGCACATACTGCAGGAAGGGCTGCTCCTGCACCAGGAAGGGCTCCCGGTGCTCCTGCTCCCAGTGCTCCACCTGGTCCTGCAGCTCTGCTTCAAGCTTGGGAAGAATTTTCTGCAGCTTCACTGGCAGCTTCTCTTCTTTCAGAAGATTGCCTCCCACGGTTGGTGAAGCAGCAGGGGCCCAATGTCTTCTCTCAAGTTCCTGAAAGTGGCACCAGCTGTCTTCCCACTTGCAGATGCCATTGAACAGTTCCTGGTGGGTCTTGTAATACTGCTTCACCTGCAAGATTTCTGTGTTGTGCAGCTGAAGGAGCTCCTTTGCGAAGTCATCCTGGAAAGAGCACATCTGCTGCTCACTATAGAAGTACTTCTTCCAGTATCTGGCCAGCTCCACTAGGATGGCCTCCACTATGTTCTGGATGTTGTCACACTTGAGCTGCTCCATGAGATCTTCCTCCCACTGCACCGCATTCATGATCTTGGATCCAAAGCTCACCATGTTGGGGGCAAAGGCCTCCCTTTCCTCCTCAAGGACCTGCAGGTAGTTTCAGAGCCACCAGGATCCTGAAGCACAGATCCTCACACAGCGCTTCCTTCTGGCTTCTCTTGACCTTCAGTTGCTTCAGTTGCTGCAGGATCTCTTTGAGGGTGGTGATGTTCTTGGCGGAGAGGCAGAAGGCGCCCTTATCCTCACAGACCATATCTCGCTTGAAGCTGGTATCGGGACTCTCTTGAATGTGATTCTCATGGAGGAGGTTGATAGCAGTGTGGAGGTGATAGAGCCTGATGATCTTGCCAACGTCATCAAGGAGAAGTGCAATAGAGGGCGGGCAGGCAGTTTCAATGGACTTTGAAGCCTTGGATGCCTTTGAAGTGTTTGAAGTCGTTGAGGCCTTAGATAAAGCCTTCGGTGGGCCTGATGTCGATGGCGCTGCTGCAGTTGAAGGGGCCAAAGCCTGCTGGTAGAGAACTGCTCTGAGGCGGGAGGCTCTATTATTTCCTGCCTGAGCCATGAAGGCTTGGCAATGAGAGCATGAGCTCAATGACATGGCTCTCCCTGAGGCAGAGGAGGCACTTAGTGTGGCCGTCTGAGTCAGGTATTTACAATGTACATGGGACCCATCTCTTAAACCTTGTAGTCGACATAACAAAGTTCCGAAGAGCTGCTGCAACGGCAGAAGAAAAGGAACTGGGAACATAGGGCCAGGGTGCCTTTTGTGCCCTGGGGTGGAGTGGACAGGGTTACCACCAAAAATAGAAAACATACAGTTTGGATAGCTTTTGTTAGAGCTGTCGCAGGCACAGTATACTCCACAAGTGTGCATTCACAGAGGACTCGAAGAAGAAACAATATTTGATAGTAAGTCCCTTTTCAGCCTCCTTTCCTCATACCTAAGCCGTTCCTCATAAGGTTTGGCTTCCAAACTTCTGATCACTTTGGTCTCCCTCCTCTGGACACATTCTGTCTTGTTCATATCTCTCTTGAATTGTGATGCCCTAAACTGGATATTGTATTCCAAGTGAGATTTGACCAAAGCAGAATAGAGTGGGACTTTGACATTTCTTAAACTAGACACTATACGCTTCTATTGATGCAGCTAGAAAGGGATAGGTTTTTATAGCTGCTGTATCAGGCTATTGACTCATCTTCAGCTTATGATTTACTAACACTCCCAGATTCCATTCCCAGGGTTCACCCATCCTGTATCCACATTTTATTTTTTCTGCCTGAGTGGAGCACCTTATATTTCTCCCTGTTGAAAATATATGTTGAAATTAGTCGCCTTCGGGGTGAGAAAGACAGGGTATAAATGTAGTAAAGAAACAAACAAACAAATAAATATTTTGTTAGTTTTATCCCAGCTCTCTAATCTGTTAATGTCATTTTGGATTCTGATCCTGTTCTCTGGTGTATTAACTATAACCCCCAATTTGGTGTAAGATGCGAATCTGAAAAACATTATATGTATTGTATTGACCAAGTCATTGATTAAGATGTTGGATAGCACTGGACCCAAGAGAGAACCCAATGGCACGTGTCTCCAGGATGAGAAGGATCCATTGGTAAGAATTATCTGGCTAGTTAACCAATTTATTCCTAATTCATGAACAGTATTATTATCTAGGCCATCATTCACAAGCTTCTTTGTGAAAATATTATGAGGGACCCTGTCAAATGCCTTGCTGAAATCAAGACATGATGCATTCACAACTTTTTCATCTGCCAAACTTGTAACTAGAGAGAGAGAGAGAGAGAAGGTTCATCTGGCATGACTTGATTTTGAGAAACTTGTATAAGGCATGCCAGACAAACCTTTTCCCCTTACCTATGATGCTTGGTAAGGCATAAAGCAGTAGCAAATAAAGGCTTGCATTCAAGTGCATAGATGCAACCAAGGAAACCATAGCCTGTGTGACCTAAGCAGGGCTGCTGATACTAGGATGCCTTGAAGGTCTCTCATTCATTGCTCGAGGTAGAGGTAGATAAGTACAATCAAATTGTACTGTTGGTGAGCTTCTTTCTCGGGACTTATCTCCAGCATCAGGGAGAAAGGTGAGCATGTTTCCTCAATAACTTCCTGGGAGCAAGACTACATTAAAGGAAAGAGATGTTCCTCCTCCCTTCCCTTGTCACTATGTCCAAGAACTCCTTTTCAACCGCTCCACTGGTTGCTAATTTGTTTCCGGGCACAATTCAAACTGCTGGTTATGAACTTTAAAGGCCTATACAGCTCAGGTCCAGGCTACTTGACTGACTACATCTCCTTGAGCTCCTCCCCAATTTTACTTGATTGGTTTATTTATTTTATGGTGATGTTATTTTGTTGTTTATATTTTATATTGCTGTAATGTATCGTTGGGCTTGGCCTGAGTCCCCTTTGGGGAGATGGAGGTATAAATAAAGATTATTATTATCATTATTATTATTATTTTTATTATTATTATTATTATTATTATTATTATTATTATTATTATTATTTTATAAACCTGCCCAGGCTCTGATATCCACAAGAGAGAGGCCCTGCTCTCTGTCTCACCTGCTCTGCAAGCTTGTTTGGTGGGAACAAGAGAGAGGGCCTTCTTTCTCAGTGGCTGCCCCTCCACTCTGGAACTAGAACTTCCACTCTGGGTTTCAACTCCCCACCCCTGACCCAAAATGTTTCAGGTTTTAAAAAATGGTTTATTCAGAATTGGTTAACCAGTTAAAATTCATAAGTAAACCAGGTTTTTTTTAACCTGAAACATTTCGGATGTGGGTGGGTTGAACCTTGAACCCACCCCCCCTCCAGCGTAGATTGTTAACTGCAGCAAGTTAAAGGGAGTGGTCAACCCTGTTCAAACAGCTCCACTGGCTGCCAATAAGTTTTTGGTCCCGGTTCAAGGTAAAGGTTATCATCTATAAAGCTCTAAATGGTTCAAGACCTGCCTATCTTTGTGACCATATCTTCCCCTATGAGACCACACAGTCTCTATGATCTTCTGGAGAGATCTCAGTTGCGGTTGGTGGAGATGAGAGAGAGGGCCTTCTCTGTGGTGGCCCCTCGGATCTGGAACTCTCTCTCCAGGAAGATCAGGCTAGTACTCTCCCTATCCACATTTCGTAAGGAACTAAAGATGTGATGTTCCGCTGTGCATTTGATTGACAATTCCCTTGACAGGTGGTCCCTAACCATGGCCTAAAATCAAGTCCCTGTATTTAATTACTGCACTCTTCAAGCTATAATGACTCTGTTATAATTACTCTATCCCTTTGCTACATGATCTGTGCACTTTATTGACCAACCTATTTTCTAACTTATCTACACACCAGCCCCCAATAATGAGATTTGAAGTATTTCTGGTTATTGCTTATGATGCTTGCCTTACTATTGTTATTAATGTGGCGTTATGTTGTTTTTATATATTATATGCCATGTTTTTAACTGTATGTGTTTGGGCTTAGCCCCATGGGGAGATGGAGGCAGGATATAAAAATAAAGTTGTTGTTGTTGTTGTTATTGGCACAGCTGCTTTGCTGATAACTACAGAATGGAACATGTACAACCACAAAAAGGATGGTTTTGTGCGTATTTTCATACATATTGATTTATTTTAAAAGACAAACATATCTCCCTCTATTACATGTTAATATCAAGAATATTAAGATATTACTAGTTGTACAGTAATGGATGTTGGAAATATTAGGCAAATGTTGTATGCTACTAGATGTTTCCGTGTTTGCTTGTTCGTTCAGATCAATTCCCATTCTTCCTACTTAGAAAGAGATGTATATACATCTCTTTAAACAGATTTTCTAAAATGTTTGATATATACAGATTATTGTGGTGAAATTAAGGGTTTGGTTTTAGGTTCAATAATGTCTACTAGCCATTTTGAATATTTCCTCATTTTGAGTGGAAAGACAGGATCAAAAAGTATTAATTAATAAAATATTGTATTTCTCTATTTCCACTACTTGTAGGTGAAAGGACAACTTGAGTGACTGCTTGAGTCACTACTTGAGTGACTCCTTAAAGGAGTCACTTAAAACTCAAAGAATGCCGGCGGAAGGGTCGCTGAAGAGTTCTGGCTCTGCCAGCAGCCAGCGAACACAACCGCCCATCATTGCTTTTACTGCTTCAGCAGTAGCTGTCATCTTTTTTGGATCCACTTTCGTACCAGTAAAGAAATTCGACGTCGGGGATGGTAATTATCTGGATTTCGACTAAATTGCTGTTGCCATACCTTGTACAGATCTAGATTTCATTGTTCAATTTGTATTTTCTTAGAAGAAAGCTGGTGGCACTAATAGCTGCTATAACAGACTTAGTCAAATAATATTATTGCAGAAGAGATTATTAAGCATTCATCATACCCTTTCAATACACTGAGTAGCTCAAAACGGAAAATGGAGGAGAAAAATGACTCAGTCTAATAACATTTTGTTTATCTATTCAAAACAAATTAATTTACATTTTAGCATGAGCTTTCATAGAGATCTATCTACTTTCACATATGCATTGATGAAGCAGCATTGAAACCACAGGTTTTTAAGCATAACTAAACAGTTGTGAGAAAATGCAATAGGATACAATAAGATGCAAATCTTTAGCCAGCTCATGAATCTTTAAAGAGCTATGTGAGCTGCTACAGGTCTTCTAAACCTTTAAGGTTGTCTGATGTGTAAAAACAAAACATCTGCTTATCAAATGCCAGTTTCCTTGCAGTCAAAGACTTCCTCATAGGAGACTCCTTTGTTATATATACAGTTATAAGGACTTCTGTATAACTAATGTATCTAGCTACAATGAAACAATTATCTTTGTTCATACCTCTGACAATGTACTAGAATGTGTATATAGAACTCTAGTCACCTGTTTTTCTTTCTAGTCTTTATATTTGAAGCCAGAATTTTCTAAAATGACTTTACATGACAAAGTGGGTCAATAACAAACAACACAATTGTCCCCGTTTCCATTAAAAAAATGGCTAACTGTCATTGAACCTAATTTTTAGTAATTCAAGATCAAATATTACATTCCAAAATCCAAATTGTCCACATAGATGGTTGTGATTGTGACCTCTTTTCTTTCTGATGGTTCAAAATACACAAACTGTTTCATGCACAAAATTTTAAAATATTGTATACAATTGCCTATCTTTATAAGGTATCTATGAATCATAAATGAATTTTATTAGACTTGACTCCTATTGCCAAGATAGCACATAATGTATACATATGGAAACACAGTTATTCTAAAATATGAAAAGAATCCAAAATCCAAAACACTGGTCCTAAACTGTACTTGTGAAAAAAATCTGGCTTCATCATCACAAAATCTAAGCATTCTATAATATATTAAAAGTAAATGAGAATATGTAGCAGTTAGTAAAGAATTTTCTATCATGCTTAACTCATTTGTTTGTGTTTTAGGGATGTTCTTCCAGTGGGTTCTGTGTTTTGCCATCTGGACAGTAGGTGCAATTGTTCACTTCATCCAGAGATCCCCTATATTTTGGCACCTTGCTATGGTTGGTGGCTTTTTATGGGCTACAGGTAATGTTGAACATCTCCTAATTCTTCCAAATAATGCACATGTTGTAGCTTGGCAAGCATCGGATGAGCTTTCTGAGTGCTCAGAAGATGAGAAAGGGGATGATGGGTCGCAACCTGTAATTTCTGGGGCATCTGTGAAAGATAGCAGGGGCTTGGAGAGAGATGTTTTGAAATCTCTTGGCTGTTCATAGCCAACGGAAGAAAGTGACATCAAAATACCCCATAGTGGCCTTCAGAAAGATAATGTGGAAGACAAAGGTTTTTCTAGATGAGGTTGCCTTGAAATTAGGAGGTAGAATGTAAAACAAAAACAAACTCATGAGATAAGGAAAGAAAAAGCAGGTGTATGTGAAGTGATGTTATGGGAAGGAAAGAGGCCTAGATGTTTCCATGCTTGCTTGTTCATTCAGATCAATTCCCATTCTTCTTAATTGGTTTCTGGGCTCTCAGGCCTTTAGTGGGAACAGCATTGTAAAAAGGGGAAATAGCTCCCAGTTTTTAGATCTAAGTACCTGGTTCCTGTATTTCAAGATTCTTGGTTTGATTCCTGTTTATGACTTCGTGTTCTTGGAGATTTTGCCTTTCTTGTGTTCCTGTTATCGTGTTTATGAATATAACTTTTGAACAATATCCTGCTTAAGGATTTTTTTGCTTTGTGTTAACACAAGTATCTGTGGATTGCTTTTTGATGCTTTGGTTCAAAAGCTGATGAACCCTTGATCTTGTTGGGAATTACTTTTTGTATTTTTTCTGCTGCTTTCTTGTTTTTTTTTCCCCTTTATACTTATTCATTAATAAACTTTTACTTATCGGATTATCTGAACATTAACATCTTTTGCATATTGTCAGAACACATATTGGATGGAGGGCCATGACTGCATAAGGTAATGGAATTCCATAACAGAGAAAAATATATTCCTGGTTGACCTTTATATGGCTACACATTGGGTACCAAAGTGTCTGTTTTCCCTTTAAACACACATAATGCACAAATATGTCTCTCATCAGGAAGTAGGAAGGTACTCACCCCTACTTCCATATATTGGTATGTGTTATGCCAACATATGGTATTGATAAATTGTTATTCTTCTGTCTATATGAGTTAGAATCATAGAGTTAGAAGAGACCACATGGGTCATCTAGTCTAACCCCTGACATGCAGGAGCAACATAATCAAAGAACTCCTTGAAGTTGACCATCCAGCCTCTGTTTCAAAGGCTCCAAAGAAGGAGCTTCCACTGCACTCGGAGGCAAAGAGTTCCGTTGTTGAACAGCTCTTATGGTCGCGAAATTCTTCCTAATATTCAGGTGGAATCTCCTTTACTGTAATTTGGACCCATTGCTCTGAGTCCAGATCTCTAGGGCCACAGAAAACAAGCTTGTTCCTTCTTCCTTATGGCATCCTTTCAAATATTTTATTTATACATGGCTATCATGTCGCCTGTCACCCTTCTCTTCTGCAGACTACACATACCTAGCTCTTTAAGCCCATCCTAATGGTGGTTGTTATTTAAGCCCATTAGTATTATAATGAGTGTTGTTGTTGCAATAATATAGCCATGAATATTGCATTAAGACTCAATGGATTTTGTTGTTTTTTTCACCCTGTGCAGGTAACATCATGGTTGTCCCAATTGTAAAAACCATTGGACTAGCCCTTGGTCTCTTACTCTGGGCTTCCTTTAACATGCTTACTGGCTGGGCCATCTCAAGGTAAATGCATTCAAAGAATCATAGAATTGTAAAGTTGGAAGAGACCACATGGTCCATCAAGTCCAACCCCCTGCTTAATTCAGGCTTAATTTCAGGGAGCTATGGGTTCAATCTCTGCAGACTTCTGAAATGAAAGAAAAAGCATTAGTAAGCCTGCTTTCAAATGAAAATATATAAGATTGATTAATTTGCTGAATTAACTGCCACTCTTTATTATTTACTCTTTATTATTCTTGCATATTAATCCTTTTGTAACAAACACAAATCAATACAGATAATACAGAATGAAAAAAATAAGAAAGTAAACAATTGCACATATAGTAATTCATATCCAGATATCTATGCTTTCAGAAATGTACGCATATTATATTTTCTATTCTATGTACCATATTTACTCAAACAGAGATACTGTGTCACTAGAAAATTCTGTACACAGGCAGTCCCTGAGCTGCAGACATCTGACTTACATCCTATTCATAGTTAAGAATGGGAGTGAGAGAACAAGAAGCGAAAGGAAATCTACCCCTAGGAAGGGAAACTCATTCCTGGAAGAGTTATCATGGGGAAATTGTGTCTTCACTGAAGTTTATTACCAAGCCTTGTTTCCATGACAACCCAAAAGTGAGGTGAAATTTTCTGAACAGGGGCATCATAGATAGCAAAATAAATGTCATGGATGTGTTAACCCTTCTTTATGCTATCCAGCTGAAAATATACATATTTGGTTGGAGTTACACTTTAAAAATGTAGATATTTTAACTTACATACAAATCTAGTTTAAGAAGAAACCTACAGAACCTATCTTGTCTACAACCCAGGAACTGCCTATACTGTCTCAGTGGTCCCTCAGTATTGTTTGCCTTTGGACGTCTTTCTTAGTTTCACTTAATTTTGATTTTTTTAAAAAAAACAATAGAGTTCTGCTTTTGCTTCACAGGTTTGGTTGGTTTGGACTTGACCCAGAACCAGTTCAAAACCCCATCCTAAGCTATGTTGGAGTTGCACTTTCAGTGATCAGGTAGTTGTTGTTGTTTTGTTGCTGTTTAAAATAGGCTTTGTTATTAATAACTATACTATTCTAATTTTTTTAAAAAAACATAATTGAGTGAAACAATGAGTTTTGTGTTTCATGTGGTTTTCTTTGCAGCATCATCATGTTCCTGTTCATAACAACGGATGACCAGAGTTCACAACCTACAGAAGAATGTGATGTAAGTTCCATTTTCATATTTTGAATATTTATTGACTCGAGTGTAAGCCGAGGGTGGGAAATAAAGCAGCTACTGGTAAATTTCAAAATAAAAACAGATACCAATAAAATTACATTAATTGAATCATCAGTAGGTTAAATGTTTTTGAATATTTACATAAAACTGTAATTTAAGATAAGACTGCCCAACTCTGATTAAACCATTATTCCAACCTTCTTCAGTGTAAATGTGCTTACATATCCCTCCAATAATGGTAACGAAAATAAAATAATAAATGTAATAATAACAATAATAAAGTAAGATAAGACAACAACAACAAAGTAAAATAATAAATATCCTTGACTAGAGGGGGAGTTCAGCCTTAAAGGGGCTGAAAAATTAGGCTGATATTCTAGTATATAGCATATACTTCAGCGCTGGAAGAAAGGCTTTAGCTTTATTCAGATCAGTTGTTTTGTAAAGCTTTGTGGGGGAGCTCTAAGGCCCCAGCAGTCTTTTTTCCTGCCTCATGTTAGATTCTCTTCAATAATGCATGTTAAGCTCTTCCATGCTACACAATTATTGCGTGAGAGGTGCAATGAACATTTCATACTTCACAATTATAGCACTATGATTTATTTGCCATAGTTCCATCCTGTGGAATCCTGGGATGGAAATTTAGGCCTCATCTACACTGCTATAACATCCAGTTTTTGAATGCAGATTGCCTGCTTTGAACTGAATTATATAGCAGTGTAAGCTCATGTCATCCATTTTAACACAAATCTTTGGCATTCAGAAACTGGATTGTATGGCAGTGAAGATGGTCCCTTGGGGAACAGCATTTAGCATTCTGAACCAGCTAGTGCCTAACGAAATGACAAATCCCAGGATTCCGTCAGAAGTTGCCATAGCAGTTTAACTGGAATCATACTGCTATAGTTGTGTATTGTGAAATGCCTTGGAAATGATCTTCAGTGTCACCTTAGATACTGGAGGAGACACATCTTTCATGACTAGCAAATGTTGACAGCCAAAGAATCCAGTGTTTGGAATATTTCTAGAAATTTTATACTCAGTAGATTTCATTTTTTTATCAACAGCAAATCAACGCCTGTGAACGTGGCCTTCGTCGACAGCCAGTCAAAGCAGATGAGAAAGGAACTGATAACAAAAACGACGAATCATGGGTGCAGAGTCTTTCTCCTCTGCAAAAGAAAGTTCTGTATGTTGACCATGTGCTTCTGTTAAATTTCTCTACCCTGTTATTTTTAGTGACATTCATTTTCTGGTTAATTTTCTAAGGCAACAAAAAGAAATTACTTGTAACTATCCTATTACAGTAATGAGAACCTTTGACATCTCTTTCTGGGAACCCATCAACATTTTTTATATATTGCTATGTTTTCTATGACAGCATTGCTCAAAGCATACTGAATTTACCTTCTCTTTTTTTCCCCCTATAAGTGGCTGCTCTCTGGCTATCATCGCAGGGATATTGTACGGCTCTAGTTTTGTTCCTGTCCTTTATATCAAGACTCAGGGCAAAAAGAATACACCAGGCTATGAAGGAGCCAGTCAGAATGGTAAACACCAATTAATACTTGTAATAATAGTATCCAGAGCGAAAGACATAACAGTCCATTGCAAAAATGTAAAAAGCAGTCTTATAGCACCTTAAAGATTAAACTTCAGGGACTGCATTCCTCTTTGTAATGAAGTACAAGGCCTTGTATTAAGGTACAATACTTTATTTATAAAAGTTGTGTGTGTGTCTGTGTGCGTATGTGTGCCATCAAGTCACCTGTTGACTTGCATAAGGAAGACTAATAATAATAATAATAATAATAATAATAATAATAATAATATCTCACTCCCTCTTCCTAGGGGACTTGGGGTGGCTTGCAACATAATACATTTCTTCATTGGTCTGCCAGGAGACGTCAAAGGAACACATTTTATTCCAGAAAATAAAATTAATTCACCTTCTATAGGACACGAGGACATTGTTCAAAAACCTTCTATATTACACAAGGGCATGGTTTGAGGCCTTCCTGGACTCCTGGGTGCACTTTGGAAAAATTTGATGGTGGAAATGTCATTTTGACCCATCGGATTGGAGGGTTCAGGGCAACTCCAAAAATGTGGAAATGTACTCTGTATCCCCTAGATATAATTGTTGGGCTTTGGGAAGCAAAATCATAATGGAGGCCACAAAAGATTGTACCGGGGCCACATGCCACCATGGGTCATATTTTGCCCTTGGCTGAAGTATGGCATTTACGGCCAGTGTGAATGGTGTTTACGCTCACATGCAAGCTGAGTGAAGCATCCAATTCAGAAAAAAAATGGCAAAGCAGAAGACACTTTATATGGTCTTCTCCAACCTGATGCCCTCCTCCAATGGGGGAGTACATCCAGCATACTAGCTGGCATGATGTCCAGTGCAGTCCACCATAGCTGGAGCACTTCAAGTTGAAGAATTCTTCATACCAATGCATTTGTGCTTAGGATATTCTTGCAATGTTTGATGAAATAGTTGTGTTTGTGACATCCTTATGTAATTCCTGAATATGTTTCCTAAATGACTTTACACACATGTTGATCTTTTCTTTCAGATTTAGATTATGTCCCTGCACAATGTGTTGGCATTTTTGTTGCTAGTACCATCTACTTTTTTATTTATTGCGTAGCAATGAATAAGCGTGGTAAAGTTTATCCTGAAACCATAATTCCAGGTATAATATACAAACTTTCATTTTAATTACAAGTTCTTCTCAAATATATATTATAATGTTTCTCTTAAAAGAATGCATAATATAACTGGCATATGTTGTTGCAGTTTTTCTGGGGGTGGTGGGAGGAGGCCTCGTCTTCCCAGCGAGGCCTTGTGCTGACACCACTAGAGCCAGCCCAACACGGGAAACATCCTGTGTTTGGGGGAAAGCATCCAGTGATAATTTCACCCCGGTTGGAGACGGGCCCTTGGCTGGAAGTCACACAACGTCATGTGTTGTCCAGTGTGGTACTGCATCCATTAGATAGGGTGAAAGCATTCTAGCATGCTAAATTCACTCCATTTGATGAGGTCATATTGCAGTGGGGGATTCAGATCCTTGTCTCCAGAGTTGTAACCTAGTACCCAAAGTACTGTGCCACACTGAAGTATACCATTCTTAAAATCACCAGCTATCTTTTCAGTGGAAATGAAGTCTGCTACCCTGCAGATAAGCCTTAAAAGCTACTGAAAATCAAGGGAAATTTAAATATTATTTAATTCTAGCATATAAAACAGAAAAATGTTATAATAGAAGGCATATCCTCTATAATAATGCTACCAGTGATAGCATTTGGCAAGTAAAATTGTTTTTAAGGTAGCAACCTCACATCTTAGTTCTATAAATGGCTTTTGGAATATAGGAAGTTGCCTAATACAAATCACACAGTTGCTCCGTCCAGTATTACCATTTCTGACAAGTAGTAGACTTTTGAGGTTTCGGCTCCGAGCTGGCCTGGTGGCTGGAAGAAGTCTGGTTTGGTACCAGTAGACACCACCTTTTCTATTCCCCGTTGTGTCCTTGGCTCAACAGGAGACATGAATTCCTGGTTGTCATTCCTCGCCACATGTAATGACACTGGCCACAGCAACACAGGAAGAGGGAGGGAGGAAGGAAAGGAAGAATCACCTCCTCCACCCCCTCTCCCTTCTCCAGCCAGTGTTGGTTGGTAAATGTGATGAGCAAAGACCACCAACAATTTTTCTCCCTAAGATGAACACACAAGAAGGATGGTAAGTGCCATCTCCTGTCCCCAGGCTGCCCAAGCCTAGGAAATGTGGAATGGCCATGTGAATAGCCAGAGCCTGTTACAACCCAGAACTAGTCCCAGTGTTTACATTTTCACAATTGCAGGGAACTTCCAACACTGCTTTTAACACAGCAGAAGATCACATTAATTAACCTTGGTGGTTATTAAGGCAAATGGGCCTCATTCGTCATGTAGATGCCATGAGTCCATTCACTCTCATACCACCTCAAAAGGGCCCTTAGAGAAGCAGGTTGCCTTTTTTGAGCTGTTAATCCCGTATTGATGGATTGCGCAATTCCAATTGTGCATGGAACACTTCTCTTAAAAATAAACTCTACGACAATGGTTCTCAAATTTTGTTTAAAAATGCTTTGGACTTCAACACAAAGTGGTCAAGTATTCTGGGATTTGAAATCCAAAACACCTATAGAAGGTCTGAGTTTTTGAAAATCCCTGTTTCATGTAACATGCAGGACTCTGTGGTCAATGTCTAGAATGATCAAGACCAAACGTATGGTATCCCAGGATTGGCTCAAACAATACCAATATATTCTGCTAGCTCCTGCTTGAATGGAGTATTTACTTGTTTATTTACTATGCCTATGAAATGCAAATGCTATAAATTCATTTTCCGATTGTCAATTTTCATTTAGTTAAAATGGCACTGTCTCTCACTAGAGGGGGATAGCATCTGACTTAGGGAAACTAGAGTTTTCAGTGAAAATGCAAGAGGGCAGATAGTATCTCTGTATTTGGGAAAGGGGAAGGGTATTATTAAGATGTAATCAGGCCAAGCCTATGACAGAAATGGGGAGGGAAAATAAAATGGTATGTTGTAGAAGAGAGTGTCACTTGCTGCTTGACTGGACCCTAAATAGAAATAATCCAAACTGCAATTGTTCAGATCCCGTAAAGATTGAATATAGTGATTTTATTTTTGATTGATTTTCAGGTTTACTTTCTGGTGCATTGTTGGCTTCGGCAAGTTGTGGCTGGTCAGTTGCAAATCGTTACCTCACTTCTGTGGTCAGTTTCCCCATAATCACCGCTGTAAGTTGCAATAAAATCATAAATCTATGAAATAAGGTAGGGTATTAAATAATTACTTGAGAGGCTTCAATATTTTTCTATGGCAGGTAGGGCATGCAATTTTTTTTCCTGTGCTACAACTACTTTTTGAGTGTAGGAGAAAGAATGATGGATGTTTGTCCTCCAACAAATAGCTTCTCTGAATTGAGACATGCATATTTCTTACTCCTACCTCTTAATGTGGAACTTCCTCCCACAGAATAGGTGAAGTGTTTGGAAGAGTAGGTTTTCCCTAAAGTTTCACCATGCCCTGTTTTGAAATTAAATGAAAGATTTTCCTATCTCCATCATACCTAATCCTTCTCTCCATTTTCTTTAAGATTTATCTGTTTGATCTGCTATCATACAGTAAAGGCTTGTTTCCCCCAATTCTTTTTTTAAAAAAACTTCTCTCTTTGTAATCTCGGGAGTTCAATTTACAGCTCAAAAAACTTACAACAACATTTTGTTTTGTTTTGTTTTTTCGTGTGAGGAGTGACTTGAGAAATTGCAAGTCGCTTCTGGCAACATGTATAGAAGAGTGATTCTTATGTTCTTACAGGAGGGAGGGGGGAAATGAAGCTTTAGCTCTCTTAAATATCTCTCTGCTATCCTTTTGATAGACAAAAGCATCACAGCAGGCGTTTCAGAGAGACAAGAGTTCGAAAGGACTTTTATGACCTGACACTGGAAGGGGGGGGGATGTTGAATGAGCAAGTTTGCTAAGGTTGCAGAGACACTAAGTCCAGGATTTGCATGTTTGCTATTTTCTCCTGAATGTTTTGATTCTCTTATTTGCTATACCTCCTCAGTCCCAAAATGTTAATGGCGGCAGAAAGGAATCGATTGTGCCCATCTCGGCTCCTCCCTCCATGATGACATCATCGTTTAATTTACAAACGGTCAATGAGGCATTCCCATCACATGTTAAATTGGGTGTTTTTCCACATATCTACACAGGGAATTGAGGAATAAGCAACTTGCCAATCAACTCAGGAATTGTGGGGAAAACCCACAATTTAGAAACGACAAGATACCTCCACCCCACATTTGAAGCTTGTGTCATATGAAGGGCACCATCAGTGGCAATTTCTTAAGTGTATAGAAATGCTTATTTGTGTGTGGTGAAGTCAGAGGTTTTACATACAATCTTGAGAAGTTGATTATAAGGAAGTATATATTAGGTTCTGTTCTGCTCTGTAGATTCTATTTTCCTCATTTCCTTATTTTATTATGATAATATGTAATTGCATTTTTAAAATGTAATTCTAGCTGGACCACGATGGAATTTGCAGAGTTAGAAGCCATGACTGATCCGAGACACTTTTGACTAAGGCAAAATATAAATATACAATTCAATGTAAAGAAACTGTGTTTATGATGGAGCAATGCCCTTTGTGATGCATAGGGGCCACTTAGGGATGTCAGAGAGACCATGTGACACACACAATTTTGTTATCCAGTAACATCAGGTATAATAACAATGCAATAGTTGAGATTCTGTAAAGAGGCCTCTTTCTGCTACTCTCTAGTATCTGTTGCTTGAGTCATGAAAGCACATTAGATGCCTACATAAGAAAGAAGTCAACTTTATCCAAAGAGTTTCCCTACCAAATTAATTGCAGAGTGGGATGCAACAAAAAATTAATCCCAGAGAAGCCTAAATATCTTTGAACAATGACCATGTGGAGAGGGTGTTCTTTAATGAAGACTGATTAAAGAACTGTGGTGCTGAGGAAATGGCTTGATTATTCTGCATGAAAAAGGCATCAGTTGTAGAGATTGTATGTCTTATCTTCCCCAAATAGATGCACTCACATAATTCACAGTGGGAGTTAACATTGTGCTTATTCCATATACATAGGTGGTACAGTTAATGTAAACTGACTTTAGAAATGTAGAAATAGACATCATTCATCCTATATATTTTGTCTACTGACAAAAGAAACTGGGGGTACTTTAAGTCATTTTGAGATCAAGTGGGCAAGTTTTTGAATCATAGAATCAAAAAGTTGGAAGAGACCTCATGGGCCATCCAGTCCAACCCCCTGCCAAGAAGCAGGAATATTGCATTCAAATCACCCCTGACAGATGGCCATCCAGCCTCTGTTTAAAAGCTTCCAAAGAAGGAGCCTCCACCACACTCCGAGGCAGAGAGTTCCACTGCTGAACGACTCTCAGGGTCAGGAAGTTCTTCCTCATGTTCAGATGGAATCTCCTCTCTTGTAGTTTGAAGCCATTGTTCCGCGTCCTAGTCTCCAAGGAAGCAGAAAACAAGCTTGCTCCCTCCTCCCTGTGGCTTCCTCTCACATATTTATACATGGCTATCATATCTCCTCTCAGCCTTCTCTTCTTCAGGCTAAACATGCCCAGCTCCTTAAGCCGCTCCTTATAGGGCTTGTCCAGACCCTTGATCATTTTAGTCGCCCTCCTCTGGACGCATTCCAGCTTGTTGAAATTAAAGCTGGTGATTGCAAAGACATCCTCAGAAATTTTCTGGCTGTTGGAGAATAGGATACTAAAAGAGAGCCTATTGTCCATCAGCCAAAATTGGACAATTGGGATTTTTCTACATCACTTATGACCATGGCTGGGACCTGAAGTAAAGAACAGTTTACGCTAAATTTGGGTGCATATTTTACCGGGACTGTGACGCAGCTGTCTGAGTGTCAGCTGCATTAAGATCACTTCTGACCACAAGGTCATGAGTTCAAAGCCAGCCCAGGTCGGAGTGAGCTTCCAACCAATTGTGTAGTTTGTTGTCGACCTTTGCAACCCAAAAGACAGTTGCATCTGTCAAGTAGGAAAATTAGGTAACACCTATGTGTGGGGAGGCTAATTTAACAAATTTACGAGGCCATAAAAAAGACTTCACAAAGCACTCTAGAAAAAGCATGCGGGGAATCCGGAAGTACTTCATCAGTGCCGCAGATGGACGATGAAAGCGACAGCTCCCCTGGCAGCCAGAAAAGTTAAATAGCCTCTGACTGTCTATATCTGTTGTGTGTCTTTGGCACTGAATGTTTTCCATATATGTGTACATTGTAATCCACCCTGAGTCCCCTGTGGGGTGAGAAGGGCGGAATATAAATACTGTAAATAAATAAATAAAATACATGGGATAGAAAATTATTACGGGAAACCGATGACAACAAAATATGGACTATGCTCATCCTTCTGAAAGTTAGTTTGTTGTCTATACCACTGGAAGTTCCCATGGTATTACATGGGATGTGCAAAAGAGGCACGATGGGAAGGAGGGCGGGGCTTCCTATGGACATCTTTTTCATCGTGCAGTCTTTTCAATTGATAACAACATTCAAAAAGATGTTGTCATAATAGGAAATGCTCCTTTTGCATGATGCTCACCACTTTATTATTATTAAAAATACAATCATGGGAGAATTAAAAATAACAAGCTCTTGAGTTATTGCTAGAGCCAGTGGGGTGTAGTGATTTGAGCCCTGGACTACAATTCTGGAGACCAAGACTCAAATTCCTACTTAGTCATGGAAACTCACTGGGTGACCTTGGCCATAAACAAATCATGTCAAGAAAATCCTGTGACAGGTTTGCCTTAGAGTCACCATCAATCAAAATGACTTAAAGACATACAACAAAAGTGAATTGCCACAGCCTTGAGTTGTTGTGTGGTTTCTCTACATAGGCAGGAGCTGAGGTGTGCTTCAAAATGGACAGTGACAAACTTTTACCTAGTTTTGAAGCATGTTTGTGCAGAAGAGTTTGAATTCAACCCACATTACTGTGAGAACTAAGCCTATCTTTGTCAGCTCCTTAGACAAAAGCCAAAGTTTTCTTCATTCTTGACGAGAGCCTTTTGCAGGATTGATTCACTTTTGTTTGTGTAATTAGTTAATAATTCACTGCACAATTAGATTTTATTGAATGCATTATGAAATTTAAATGAGATTGTTAAACATGAACAAATTATCTATTATTTACTGTGTGTTAAACATGTCCTTATAGGGTCCTGGCTTTATTGCTGCAGTGTGGGGCGTTCTGATGTTCAAAGAAGTGAAGGTAAGGGATATGACATCCTGAACATACACCTGTCATCACATCCATATCAACATTTGAGGAACAGTCTTAAGATTGGAAGGGAGAAAGCGTTAGGGAACTGAGTTACACACTTTCCCCTTGCTACAATAACCTCCATGCTGGCAAGATGTGTGAGTTCAGACTTGAATGTTCCAGACTAGTCAAGAGAAAGGACACACAAATCTCTTGTACCTTCTTCTCCCCCACTCCCCCTCATTTTGACTTTCCAAACCATTAGATACAAGTTGTTATCAAAACTCACCTTGCCCCACATTACGAAAAGTAAGGGAAAATCTGAATTCTGGCTCAGAATTTGGGTTTCCCCATGACTTAAGGTAGTAGCCTACACTGAACCAGCTGCAACTGTTCCCACTGCCTTCCCATGTTTTCAGTGCTCAGACAGCCTGCGGAAATTGGATGATGTTCCCACCTGCCCCATGTTGAGGCAGCAAGCACAGAGAAGGGAGGAAGAAGAGAAAGAGGGATTTCCTCTTCTCCCTTTCTCCTTGCCTTCAGTGGGCAAGTAAAGGGAAATATGTGTTGTGACTGGACACTGCTGCAACATGGGGGGAAAGGGGGCCACTTAGGATAGTTGCTCAGTGGCACAGAACTGAATTCGGACTACTGAGCTATGAGAACTCCCTCCCACATCCATGACACCTGGAGAAATCCTGTGGGGAAACCTTTGAGCCAATCAGGTGTCTATCATGATGGCTCAGCCTTGAATTAAGTCTGAGTGTAGATGTGCCCTTGGACCTAAGCTCTTTAGGGCTTTAAATGGCAACACCAGTGCTGATCTGCAACATAGTAAACTATTCTTACCTTCACTGGCATCCAGATGGACACACTGCACCAACACATATTTCTAAACCTTCTTTAAAGGCAGAGGCATGTAAAATACAGCATGATTGTTCAGGGCACCTTTCACACTATAGAGTTATATTTTAACTGCCATGGCAACATCCTATGGAATTCAAAAAGAGATTTTTAGAATTCTTTGCCAGATAGTTCTAGTGTGTCACCAAGTTACAAATTCCAGAATTCCATAAGTTGTTATAACTGTAAAAGTGTCAAAATGTCCTAACTTAAAGGTAATTGGTATATGGGTAATTGAATCAAGGTAGCAATTGCTATCCAACATACCTGCAGCAGTATATTTGTGTAACACTATTTTATCCACACAGTGATTCAGTTAGTTAAGCAAGGCAAAGACATAGTGATTGATCCAAAATCAAAAAGAGAAGGATTTTGTTCATAGTTTACCCAGAGTCCAACTACAGGCTAATTTAATAAGCTTATGTAATGCAGTTTATTTGACTAACTGGATGTATGTTGTCCAGCTACTGTATGCCTATACTAGGTATAGGGTAGATGAACTTTAATTTTCTTACGACCTCATCAGATGGAGTAACTTTTGGTGTCAAACACCAAATCCTCTATAGTTTTGAGACGGAGCTCACCATCTCCCATCGCATGATGTAGAACTACTTCCATCGGGGCTCTGTCGCAAAACTGTAGAGGATCCAGCATATACAACTACCGCGGAAATGCAAGAGGCTTCCCATGTTCAAATGGAATCAACAGGGGGAATCCAGGCAGTGGGAGCTCCCCCCCCCCATAGGATGGGGTGAAGGGGGTAGCTGGGCAATCCAGGGCAATAGATTCTCTATGCCCCACCTCCGGATTCGCCATGATGTGTGGCCATTCCGGCAGCCATGATCAGGTCATAATGAAGCATGTATTGATAAACCAACACTGGTATGAGTCTGCTGATCTACAATGTATGCAGATAATGTCATGTTATATTTCTTGAATCTCTTGTATTTTAATTCCTTGCTTTCCCCTTTCCAACCCATTCTATATTTCTGCAGGGACTGAAAAACTATGTGTTGCTCATAGTAGGATTTTGTTTCATTTTGGCTGGATCGCTTGCAATTGTATTTTCTAAAGCCTGAAGATAACATCGCTTGAACCAGCAGATGACACCACCGATTAATAACTTTGTGTGTGTATGAGTGTGTGCATGTGTGTGTGTGGAGCTATATATGAAGCATGAATGTTGTGTTTAGACTTGTATATTATCTCCAAGCTATCTTATTATACTTGTGTGTATAAATAAATACAGTTATTCCAAAATCCAAAGCCTTTCTGATCTCAAACACTCTGGCTAAAGAATACTTAACCTGAAGTTATTATTTTAAGCAGAACTAAATATTACATTAAACCTCACAGAATTGGAGACTACAGAATGACCTTCCTATTCAAATACAATATGTTCCTGAATTTACCATGGAAATAGGAGAATGCATTTAATAGTCAACCCTATTGACATTAATGACTTCTGCCGGAAGTTACCACAGATCAAACATTGCTTTTTGAATTTTTGAATATTTATAAAGCTGCGCATAGTTGAATCTGTTGATACAGAATGCATGGAGGTCCAACTGTATCTTAGCTATCAGAACTAAGAGACTATGACTGATAGAATTAAGATACAGTTTTTAATTATAGTCCCGTGATGGCGAACCTATGACAAGCGTGTCATCACTGACATGCGTAGCCATTTTCGATGACACATAGCCACATGCGGCCACATACAGAGAAGTGTGGGGCCGCATGTTGAGAAGGACGTTTTATCCTCAGCTCCTGCACAGCCAGGTGCAGTAGCTGAGAATGAAACATTTGCTGTAGTGTAGTGTAGACACTCTGTGCCAGAGGTCCGTAGGCCAAAACAACAGGACTCTGGCACAGAGCGTCTAGTTCTGGGACTTCCAGTTAGGCCATTAGGGGATCTTTGACCTCACTTCCGGCCGGCGGAGCAGGGAGCAGAGGAATGTCGCGGGGGACGCATCTCTGGGGGTCCTGTGATTGCCATTACCAGCAACCACATAATCACAGCAACCATCATCCAATCTTCTATTCTGGGGTGTCGTGGATTTCTAATTGACCATCATTATGAGATAAGTGAGGGGAGGCAAAGACAAACCCCATTCTAAACAAATCTTGCCACGAAAACCACAGAAGGATCACTATAAGTCTGAAACAACTTCAAGGCACGCAACAACAAAATGCAATAAAAGCATACATTATTTCTGAAGTATTGCATAACTATAACCATTTTTATGATAATAAGAGAGAAGCTAAGAGCCCAATAAGAATAATTTGTGCTCTAAACAATACTGATTTGTGTTGGAATTAAGGTCACACCGAAAGGTTACTAATAATAGAAAGATAATTCTAATTTTTCACACTAAGTCCAAAGCTGTCAGAAGAAAGTTAAAAGACAACCGAGGCTGCTGCTGACTCAAAGTTTGAATCAACAAAACTGCCAAACTCACGAATATCTGACAGTGTGCTTTTAGATGACCTGAAGCTAGCAAACTTCATACCAAATACTAGCTTCCTCTTATGATATGCTTCCTTTTCTTAATAACTGTGAGAATTTGAACAAACAAGTCTACACATGCTTGCTTGAAAAACAGTCCAGATGAAAGCTTCAAACTGCAATCCAACTATCTTGAAAGAAGTCCTATTGAACAGATGTCGTACTTCAATATATAAAAGTGAAAGCTGTTAGGACTGCAAAAACTGAACCCAATGGAAAAATGCAATCCAAATGCATCAAAAATTATTGTCCATTATTTTCTGTTCACTGTACCGTGGTACAGCCTTGTTGTCTGGGGATAATTGGGATTGTAATCCAGTATGTCCAATACATCTGAGCAATGCTATGTTGGGGAAAGACTGTTCTAATGATTATATCACACTTTCTCTGTGACCTTGACAGCACTCTGGTGTAGGACCTATTCTGTGAAAGCTTGCTATTAAATGTTTTCATCTCCAAAGGGCCTCAAGATTAATAAGATTAATAAAAGAATACCACAGTAGAAGTTTAAATTTCAAATGGGCTATGAGGGTCATTTTGTCCAATCTCCTACCATGCAGGAATACACCAAGAAGGCATTTATGAGAGATGGATATATCCTTTCCCTGGTAGTCTAGTTGACTCACAAGCAACTGTTACTGTGAGGGAGTTATTCCTAATGTTTAGGTCAAATGTTTTATTCTTTTTATTTGAATTTATTTGTTTGAGCCATCAGCCTCTGGAGCAACAGGAACAATCTTGCTCCATCTTCTAAAGAACATCCCTTCAAATAATTAAAGATAGCTCTCATATCACCCTTCAGTCTTCTGTTCTCCAGGCTGTTCCTGATAGAGCTTGGTGTCCAGAAGGTTTAACATCTTAATCTTCTTCATCCAGACAAATTCCAGTTTGTCAATATCCTGCTTAAATTATAGCATCCATAATGGATACAGATTTCCAAGTGAATTTTTGCCAAAACTGCATTGTAGTTGTATGCACTTGGCATTAGATTTTATACCAGGTGGGACTTCATGCTTCTATGGGAAAAGAGGGCTATTGGTAGCAGTGCTGGTGGTAGGATAATCTATGTCAGATAGGCTTTTCCTGAGGGGTCAGACTAGAGGTAAATCTATACTACAAAAAAATGGTGCAGATTGACACTATTTTAACTGCCCTGGCTCAATGATATGGAATCCTAGTTTTGTGAGGCACTAGCACAGAGAAGGCTCAATACCTTATGAAATTACAACTCACATAATTCTGTAGCATTTAACTATGGCAGTTAAACTGCAATAATTCTAGAGTGCATATGTACGCAAAATAAACCCAAAAGCTACTGGGCAGTAGTAGTAGAGCGAGGTGATGTTGGTAGAGGATTACTCAGAGACAATAGCAGCAAAAAGCAAAAATTGTGAGTACATAACTGTTTAAAAAGATACATCGATGGATCCTGGAGAAAATCAAATCAAGCCTGAATTCTCTCTAAAAGCCAAGATGGCAAAACTAAGACAGTTGTTTGGACATAACACAAGGAGACAGAACTCACTTGGAAAAGCTGTAATTGAATAATAGATTCATAAAATTGGAAAATACCACAAGGGTCATCGTGTCCAACTTCCTGCCATGCTGAAACTCCTGACAGATGGCCATCCAGCTGCTGCTTAAAAACCTCTAGGACTTTTTGGGGTGTGCCTTTGTGCAGTTACCAGCGAAAGGGAACATTAGGAAGAACTTTCCATCTGAACATTAGGAAGAACTTTCTGACTGTGAGAGCCGTTCAGCAGTGGAACTCTCTACCCCGGAGTGTGGTAGAGGCTCCTTCTTTAGAAGCTTTTAAACAGAGGCTGCATAGGCATCTGTCAGGGGTGATTTGAATGCAATTTTCCTGCTTCTTGGAAGGGGGTTGGACTGGATAGCCCACGAGGTCTCTTCCAAATCTATGATTCTACTATTCTCAGCCTCCTTTCCTCATATCTGAGCTGTTCCTCATTAAACTTGGGCTTCCAAACTTCTGATCACTTTGGTCGCTCTCCTCTAGACACATTCTACCTTGTTCATATCCCTCTTGAATTGTGATGCCCAGAATTGGACACAGTATTCCAAGTGAAGTCTGATCAAAGCAGAATAGAACGGGACTGTGACATTTCTCAGTCTAGACACTATGCCCCTCTATTGATGCAGATAGAAAGGCATTGGTTTTATTTCAGTTGCTGCATCAGATTACTGACTCATGTTCAGGGTTGTTGCTGTTGTTTAAAGAAACCTTTGTTCTTAATTACTGTAGTATTCTAGGATTTTTTAAAAAAAATAAAAATAAAAACATAATTGAGTGAAACAATAAGTTTTGTGTTTCATGTGGTTTTCTTTGCAGCAGCATCCTGTTCCTTTTGATGAAAACTGATGATGTGAGTTCACCACCTACATGAGAAGACACTCCATTATCTAGAGAGGATGTAAGTTCCATGTTCATATTTTAAATATATGGAAGAAAGGCTGTAGCTTTATTCAGATCATTTGCTTTCTAAAGCTTTGTGAGGAGCAATAAGGCCCCATCATTATATTTTTTCCTGCTTCGTGTGAGATTATCTTCAATAATGCATGTTAAGCTTTTCCGTGCTACACAATTATAGCGTGAGAAGTGCAGTGACCATTTCACACTTCACGGTTATAGCACTATGATTCCACTTTATCTGCCATAGTTCCATCCTATGGAATCCTGGGGTGGCAATTTAGGGCTCATCTACACTGCTATAAAATCCAGTTTTTGAATGCAGATTGCCTACTCTGGGCCTGGCTAGTAGCACAACTGGTTAATCGGCTGCAATAAATCACTGCTGACTGAAGATGGCAAGTTCAAAGTCCGAGTCGAGTCGGGGTTGAATGCCCGACTGTTAATAGTTGTTAATAGCTGTGAGCTTTGAGTAGAGAAATTAGGGACCGCTTAAAGTAGGAAGGCTAATTTATGACACCATAAAAATGCCAGAGAGCAAGGAGGAAATACTACTATCAAAAAGGCTCGACATCATAGTGGACGAAACAACAGCTCCCCCTGTGGCCGAATCGAGCAACCTCCAGGATCCAAAGTGGAAGAACTGCTGAATGGCCTCTATCTGTTTGTATGTATTGTCTGTCAAAAACGGCATTGAATGATTGCCGTGTATATGTACTTTGTGATCCTCCCTGAGTCCCCTTCAGGGTGAGAAGGGTGGAATATAAATACTGTAAATAACTAAATAAATAAATAAATAAATAAAATACTTTGAATTCAATTATATGGAAGTGTAAATAAATGCCATCCAATTTAACGGAGATATTTTGCATTCAGATACTGGATTATATGGCAGATAGTGCCTTAGGATTATGTGACAGATAGTGCCTAATGAAATAATCAATCCCAGGGTTCCATAAGAAGTTACTATAATATTTTATCTGGAATCATAGTGCTATAGTTGTGTATTGTGAAATGGCCTTGGAACTGACTTTTGGTGTTACTTCAGGTATTGGAGGGGATTGGAATATTCCAGGTTGGAATATTTTCAGAAATTTTAGACTCAGTAGATTTCAATGTATTGTCAAAGGCCTTCATGACCAGAATCACTGGATTGTTATAAGTTTTCCAGGCTGTATGGCCATGTTCC